TTTAACGTCGCGGCATGACTTGAAGCATTTTTTGTCTCCATCTCGAACTTATGAATTGTACCCCTAACTGGGCATCCAGTCTGTGGCTATGCTCTTTCGGTGGGGCTATAAAGAAAACCAGGCCAAGCAATAAAATTTTCGCTCTACACTTCTTGACCTTTAGATGAGGAATATAATTTTTGCTTTTTGGCACAACACATTCAAGAACATAGGCACCCCGTTCCTCGTCCATTGGCTCCTCCAAAGGCTCAGATGACTCGATTTCCATGTCATCATCCAAACACAATGTTGAAAAATGTATGGAATGAGGACCAGTACGCCCCAAATCTAGAATTTCATCACTCTTTACATCCTCATATGTACACAGACTAGAGTCTTCACATATAATATTATCTACTTCCTCACATGACTCTAGAGTGCTTCCCTCAACATGGACATCATTAATAAAAGTACGGTCGAATGATTGACTCTCCGCTTTTAGCTCCTCAATTTGGCGTATAATCTCTTTTTCAGTTTCACACAATTCAGAACTATTTTGTTGGGCGTTAGACGCATCAACCTTTGCAATCAATTGAGCTCCCAAGTCGTGAATAGCAGTACCAAATTTTTTGATCTCTTGTCCCAGTTCAGCTCTCCCTTCTATTAAGTCTCTTATCTCATCTGTAATTTTCTCATGTTGAGCTTCATACATTTCAAATCGCTTAGCTTGTTCCATTAGCCAAGTTTGGCTCAAAATCTCCTCTTCTTTGAAATTTTTCTCTTATTGGAACTCACTCTTCTCGAATTTGAAGCTCTTCCTGACTATCAACTAAGGCTGCAACTTGTTGATCATCGAATGTTTCAACCCATTTTTCTATTTTGGCCTTCATTCTCTTATTTATTGCCTTGAGATTTTCCATCTCTTTTCGACGTTCATGAGTTTGCTCCCTTAAAAATTGAGTTTGCTCCATTATTTGCCTCATCATATCCATTATATGAGCATCATACTCCACATTCTCCACTTTGTTCCTACACGAGAGTACGACAAGTAAATCCAACACCAGAATTACAGAACACAAAGAAACGGAAGAATGAGCTCACAATGAAAGGCACGACAAATAATAATGGTTTCATACAAGAACAACTCAACAAGGGGAGAGATAATGTGTAACGACGATATCCAATAAGAGTAACTCAACAATTGAAGGGGTGACATGTAACAATGTTTCCAAATAAGCACAACTCGACGATAAGAGAGATAACAGATAACAATGATTCCAAATACGGATAAGTCAATAATGGAAGGAATAACAAAAACTTCAACTAAGGTTGAGCAATTACGGAAAGAGACAGCATGGCAATAAAAGAGGCAACAACATCAATTAAGGCACATAAGAGTTTATTTGGCAACAAGGTAGAACGTGAATCAATCAACTCCAATTAAGACACGTAAGATTGAATTTAGCAAATGGAGAAATTAACATGATAAGACAACTTCATTTTTAATGAGCATAAGAACCTAAGAGTCTAACACGGTCAAATTTCCACAATTAAGCCCGAGTACGTACTCGTCACCTCGCGTACACGGCCTTCACATGACACAAATAGCACTAACGACTCAAATTCTAAGGGGTAGTTCCCCCCACAAAGTTAGGCAAGATACTTACCTCAAAGAAAGTAGACCGATATTCTAAAATGACCTTCTCATGTGAAAAAATCTCCGGACGGCTCAAATCTAGCCAAAATAACTTAATATCATAAATAAAAATCATAGGAAACAATTCCAGATAATAAACCTTCGATCTTGAAAGAGAAATAAAAAAGTCAACTCAAAAAGTCAACTCGGGCCCGCATCTCGGAACCCGATCAAAATTACAAAATTCGAACACTCATTCGATAACGAGTCCAACCATACAAGAATTAATCAAATCCGACTTCAAATTGACTTTCAAATCTCCAAAATTTAGTCTAAGAAGTTTTCACAATTTTTCTCAAATTTCTAACTTAAATCACTAGTTAAATGGTAAAAATAATGATAGATTCATGTATAACAACCAAAACCGAGTTAAAATCAATTACCCAATTAACACCTTGAAAACCCCTTCAAGAATCGCCCAAATCCGAGGTTTCTAGCTCAAAATATGAAAAATAGTTTCAAACGCTCGATTATGAAATTAATATATGCTGCCCTTCGCGAAGCACACAACTCAACCGCCCAAAAATCCTCTTACGCGAACGCAAAGGCTCCCTCGCGAACGCGATGCTTCACGGAGCTTTTCCTACGTGAACGCGTCACCCTGACCGCGAACAAAACTTAAGGCCTGGTGCCCAAGCCGGCCTCATCTTTCTACGCGACGTGAGCTCTATCTCGCGATCGCGATGCACAATTTTCCTAGACCTTCGCGAACGCGAGGCCTTCTTCACTAACACGAAGAACAATCTTCACCTGCCTCCCATATACTCTTCACGAACGCGAGACCTCTCTCGCGAACGCGTATAAGGAAACTAGACACTCGAAAAATTTGCAGCTCAACAAGGCTCAACTCAATCTGTAATCAATCTGAATCTTACCCGAGGCCCACCCGTGACCCCATCCAAACATACCAACACATCCTAAAACATCATACAAACTTAATCGAGGCCTCAAATCACATCAAACAATATCACAAACACGAATCGCTCCCCAATTCAAGCCTAATGCACTAATGGATTTCCAACTTCTACAATCAATGCCGAAACCTATCAAACCAATTCCGATTGACATCAAATTTTGCACACAAGTCATAAATGACACAAGCCAACTCTCAGAATCGAAATCCGAACCTGATATCGGCAAAGTCAACTCCCGGTGAAACCTCTCAACCTTCCAAAACTTAAACTTTTTCAATTTTTGCCAAAATGTATCAAATCAACCTACGGACCTCCAAATCCAAATCCGGGCATACGCGTAAGTCCAAAATCACTATACAGAGCTATTGAAATTATCATAACACCATTTCGGAGTCGTCTACACAAAAGTCAAACTATGGTCAACTCTTACCACTGAACCTTCTAAAACAAGGATCATCCTTCCGAATCAATCCTGAATCATCCGAGAACCGAACTCAACCACACTCGCAAGTCATAATATATAACACGAGGCTACTCGAGACTTTAAACCACCGAACAGGACGCTAATTTTTAAAACTATCGGTCGGGTCGTTACATGAAGTGCATGCCGAACTAGCTTATTTCTATCCAAGCATTTCTCAGGCAAATGAGTCTGAATCCTGACCGTAACAAGCTACATGCCATTGCAACCTCCAATCTTAGACGGGCCATCATTCTAATGACCTGAACTAGCTAACTAATGCAAAATAAAATCGAAATCAAGAGAAGCGTCACCTATCGCAGCATGCTGCTTCCTGCCATGGTTTTGGTTTTAGTTTGGGGGTGAATGACCAAGATTTTGCCAAACCCCATCTCATCAGAACTTAAGATTGTTATGCTTTCCTACTTATATTATATAAATTATACAACAAAACACGATAAGCAGGTATTTCAGACACTACCTTTGATCTCTTCACCTTAAGAATGGATTCTCTGAGGTGGCTCGAGAGTAACTCCATTTGATCATGCTGGCATCTGAAGTTACAACACAGCCCAAGAGCTTCAATGGCAGCTCAGGGATAATGGATAAACTGAGGGACAAGCCCGAGAGAAAGGTATTCTTCACAGATCACAGAGGATTTTGCATTGCCGAGACAAGTGGAAGCCACTTTGAGAACTGATCAAATGAATTCCCAACGCCCTTTTCATCTTTTGTGATTTATATATGGGAAACGTGAATGCTTTAACACACGCTTGGTTTTGATGAAAAAATAATTATTTTTCTACCGTTCTGATCACAGTTCAGTAGTTTTGACCCGAATCATGTATTTGTATTAAAAAATTCACTTAATATGTATATATAAATAATTTATCTAGAATTCAATAAGTTGCCTTTCCTATAGTTCAACTTCAAAATCCATAAATTTAAAACTCTAGGTCTGCATTTGTTTACAAGTTAAGGTTTGACCATCTTCACTATTTGCAATCTTCCCTATGAAGTTATTATCAAATATTTAAAATTTTTGAAGCGTATTTGAAGTAAAATAAAGATTTTCACTCACAAAATTTTAAATATGTTAAACTAGTGATATAGGCCACGAGAATTTTGTAATGACAAAGATACTCAAGTAATATATTTCTCTACTGGGGAAAAGTCATTGACATTTAATGTACGGGGAAAAACTATGTAATGTAGCCATTTCGCCTTCTCTTCCTATTCAAATAATGCTCATAATTTAACTATTGTAAGTAAATACTTTTATTAGAGATTATGTTTAATGTATATGTTATGTCAAACGCTACTTCCCAGGAATACATAACCGGAGAGATAAAAAGTGCTTGTCACAACCTGGATAAGAAAATCAGATTGCTCGAGTCAAAAACTCCTTTGTGTTAGAACTACATATTCTAGGAATATAGCCAAATTGCGGCAAGCCAACAATAAACAAAATTATAAAAATAGCATCAGCATAAATTTTTGTTCATTACGAATCAAGTTAAAAAATTTGGAAAGACTTTGGCAAAGCAATAGCTTCGAGCTCGCCTCTCTATTATTCTGGAAGGAGTAACGGATAGGCACATATATAAATCATAACGATCTGCATAATATATACTGTATAACGGAAGAAGAAACCGTTAAGGTGTAGTTATTTAAAAATTAATAAGGCAACCGTTCAAAAAATGATCCAACTGTTGAAATAACATAAATGTGATTTAATTACGGAAAAAAATAAAGAGGGAAAAGAAATGTAGGAAAAAGGAGATAAAAGATAAAATCAAATCGTGGCCAATGAAACATGCCACATCACTTGCCAATACCCCTCAATTTATAAATATATATATATAGATAGATCATAAGTTTATGAATAAATATAACTTGCTTCAAATATGAGTACTTTTTTTTTCTCCAAAGTTCAATCATATATTATCCAAACTCCAACTAAACAAATTGAAAGGAAATATTAAAACTTTTTCTAGTTTTCACAAAATGCTATTAACGGTCATGCTAATTTTGCGACCCCTATTTTATGCCCTAGTCAGACAGACATACGCAGAGACTCCATAGTTTCCAAATTCAACCATGGCGATGAGCAAAGCTGAATACCTACCCCAAGAAATCATCATTGATATACTCTCCCGGCTGCCTGCAAAAGCCATAGGCCAGTTCAGATGCGTGTCAAAACAGTGGCTCAATTTTCTCTCAGACCCACAATTCATCAAATTTCACCACACCATCCATTCCCATAAAGAAGATGCGAAACTCATTTTCGTATCTAGTTCTGCCGCTCTTCACACTATCACGTTTAACCAAAACCCCCATAATGCCATTTCAAGAAACCTTAATTTTCCGCAGCTCTCACACAACTGGGTAAAAGTTGTTGGCTCATCTAATGGCTTGGTCTTGGTGGAGAATGCGGAAAATATTAAATATTTAATCAACCCCACAACCTTAAAGTACCATAGAATTCCAAACTTTCATTTGGCTCTTCCTGTGCCTGGTATCTTTAGCATGTGTGGTCTAGGGTATGATTTTGCTAGTGATGACTATAAGGTGGTTACGCTTTCTCGATATAAACGGGATTTAGACAATATTTTTGTTGATGTCTACTCTGTTAGAATGGGTCTATGGAGGAGGCATGGGAAGCTACCTGTTGATCATGGAGTTCCTATTGGCGGTTCTGGGGTTTTAGTAAATGGGGCTTTGCATTGGTTGGCTAGGAAATCTCCTTATTATTCCTCTGTAATTGTTGCTTTTGATTTAAATGATGAGACATTCTTGGAGCTGCCAGTACCTAATGCACTCGATGACAATAATTTTGTGCTTTGTGATCTTGTGGCTTTTAGAGGGTGTCTTTGTATGTTGTTGAATGATACAGAAGAAAACAAAATTGAGTTTTGGATGATGAAAAAATATGGGGTTGAGGAGTCTTGGACCAAACGTAGGATTGCTGGACTGGATTTAGTGCATGGTTTGGTGCCATTTTGTTCAATTAGTGATGATGATGTTGTATTGAATGTCGATAGAGAGAAGTTGATTGTCTACAACATGAAAGAGGATCTGTGGAGGGATATGAAGGTTGGTGGAATAACTGCTAAGTTTGAAAGAACTAGATCTTTCATGGAGTCTCTTGTATCTCCTATGTTAGGCAAGGATACTGATGGTTACGGTATTGCTTGATGCAATATTCTGCGATGATGTTGTACTCAGGTATATCATCATTTTTTTCATGATTTTTTAGTCATTTTTAGTGTATTTTGTATAATATTTTTTATTTGGTCCTCATATTTGATCCAATAAAATGAACCCTTAGAGTTTTATGAATGGTAGTTCTTTTGTCCTTGAAGTATGTTTTGATGGTAATTCTTCGATCCCAAAGAAAAGTTAACTGTATTAAATGAAGGAAAGAACCTGGATTTGTAGATTGAATTAATTCAGCATTATAGAATGGTGGCGTCTTAAAGAAAAGAATAGTTCAATTTTGAGCACACACAATGTCTTAAAGAAAAGAATAGTTCAATTTTGAGCACACACAATCTTGAAAAGAAATAGATTTAGATGTTTTTACTCTTCTCTGAATCATGACACTGGTCTCAATAAACTCAGGTAAAAATTAGTCTTGGCCACTTCTGTGCGTACTTTTTTTAAGCAATTTGACTTTAAAACTGTTATCTAGCTGCTTTAAAAACAGAATTCATTTTATGTTGTATGCCTCTTTGAATGTATAATTGTCAAGATCAATCACTACAAAGACCGTAAAGATATATATCGGGTTAGTGGTTCATCCTATTTCTATCCTAATTAAGATGACAAAGGTTCAAAGAAGCTATTTTATGAAGAAGCTTGTTAATTTCTGTTTATGATTTATTTACTACAATAGAATGGCTTGTAGATAATTGTCATCTTTTTCCAGTAATTTTTTCAATAGCTGCTGTGTTTTCTTTACCTTGGAAAACTCTGCTTGTGATTTTGTTAACTAATTCAGCAGCATTATGAGAATTCACTTTTAGCCAGCTCCACTGCCTTCTAAGGAATGGTTTTCGTATTTATTCTTTTTATTTTCTTTTTTCCAGAAGCTACTATCACGTTACATTGGAAATAACCTCTCTATCTCCACAAGGTAGGGGTAAGGCTGCATACACACTAGTCTCGTATAACCCCACTATGTGGGATTATACTGGGTTTGTTGTTGTACTATCATGTTACAAAATACAGTCTGCGTGAACAGCCTAAAGAATCTCCCGCACCTTTCTCCTCCCCGCCCCCACCCCGCCCATACAAGAGAAATGGTTTCATCAATTAAAGAGTTGGATTTTTGAGGATACATGGTGGTATTTCATGGATTTAAATAATAGCAAGCAGAGAAAACTCGCACACCCGGTGTTTCCACTATATCAATGAATGTACGAGATATGTGTTTTATACACATTTATCTCTTAACTATAGTTAATTTGTGTGTATTCTCATCTCAAGTTATTCTCAACTGCGGTAAATTCACATGGTTTGGTTTAAACACCATGTGTGGATAAGTTTCTCTCGTTGCAAACTGATACTTGTTCTGTGCCTTGCACATGAATTAATCTACTCTAAGCTGTGTACGGAGGCTTGGTGTTTTGTGTGATAAGAATGTGCCGCATAGACTTAAAGATAAGTTTTACAAAGTGGTGATTAAACCGACTATGTTATATGGGCCATTTAAGAACTCTCATATCCAAAAGATGAAAGTAGTCGAGATGAGGATGCCGAGGTGGATGTGCGGGCATTTCAGGAGGGATAAGATTAGGAATGAAGTTATTCGGGATAAGGTAAGCGTGGCCCTAGTGGATGACAAAATGGATGAAGTGAGGTTAAGATGGTACGAGCATGTGAGAAGGAGAGCCACTGATGCCCCCGTGAGGAGTTGTGAGAGATTGGTTGTGGTGAGCATGAGGAGAGGTAGAGGTAGGCCTAAAAAGTATTGAGGCGAGGTGATTAGGCAGGACATGACAAAACTTCAGCTTATTGAGGACATGACCCTAGATAGGAGGGTGTGGAGGTCGATGATTAGAATAGAAGGTTAGGAAGTAGTTGGGTGTATTCCTTTGTCATCCTAATGGCACTAGTATTAGTCTTGTAGTTTTTTTTTTCATTTTCCTGTTCGTAGAGCTATATTCTTACCTGTTATTTCTTTTGCTTCAGTTATTTTACTATACCGTTGCTGTTTATATAACGATGTTGTTATTGCTTATTGCTACTGCTCCTTTTCATTTTGTCCTTGAGCCGAGGGTCTTCGGAAACAATATTTCTATCTCCACAAAGTAAAGGTAAGGTCTGCGTATACACTATCCTCCCCAGACCCACTTGTAGGATTATATTGGGTATGTTGTTGTTGTTGTAATCATAGGCTGTACCGCACGACTGGTGATTAACATTTTAATTATGTGAACGATCGAAGGTGAACATGAAATAAATGAAGTTAGCTAGATTGAAGGAAAAGATGTATCAACTTCACCAACTAACTAAAAAAAGATAACGTCGTATAAGCGTGACTCCAATAGCAAGACACCTATGCTCAAGGGCGGAGCTACAGTGATGATTGCGGGTTCGGTCGAACCCTATAGCTTTTGTTCAAACCTTATATTTGCATTAAGAAATTCAATGAATAAGTATAAATTATTAATTTAGAACCGAGTAACTTAGAAGGATTATAATTCCGAACCCATAAGATTCAAATCCTAGCTTCGCCTCTACCTATGCTTTCACTTTGGAAAAGACGCCCTTGGTCACTAGTGGAGAGTAAAATAGAAATTAACGCAAACATCACATGTCACAGCATGTAGGTTCCTGCAATGGCTTTGGTTTTGGTGGTCTAATGACCAAGATTTAACCAAACTCCACCACCTAATGGGTATTGAAACTCCATTGCTAGGAAAGGTTATGATCCTAATTGTGATAATAAAAGTACCTGGTCAAACTATGGCAATCAAAATACTGACACAAGTTCTAGTTCATAGCATGTTTGACAAATTTATAAGTTATCTTTATTAGCCTTATTGTCCTCAAATAGGAAAAGCATTCAGTTCCATGTCGGTTCAAGTTGAAGATTTTAACTTCCGGAAAAAGGTTTCTGACTTCCCTATTTCTTGTGGGATTTGTGCTTAATTCCATACTACTACAGTCAACCTCTCTATAACAACATCCCTATATAACAACACTTCTCTATAAAAGTTAATTTTTATGTTATGTTATAATATATGTTCGCTATAACAGTACTTCGCTATAACATCCAAAAATATTCTTAACAAACGAGGCTGTTATAGAGATGTTTGACTGTATAGAAGTTTCTTAATAAATCCTTTACTTTTTGCAGTGCCATATTGTTTGCTAGTGTTCATTCCGCAAGTGGTATCTTTTCCTCTTTGTCCAAGAAACCTGTAGAGCAGATTTAGCTCTTATATGTTCATTTTTGGAATTTATCCTTTCTTCTCTGATTTTTATACCCTCTTTTCACCAGAATTAACCATGGCGCCCAACATGCAGAACACAAAAAGGTGCAGACTTGAATATCATTACCAGCATCCAGCTGGAAGCTCGAGCTCAAGCACACCACATCATAACAAAACTGAAGTTCGAAGTCTTATAACTCCTGACTGAATGAGTGGGGTTTCAGGCAGTAAAAATAAAGAAAGAGCTCAGTTATTTGGTAATAATAGTTACTCGGTACGAATCAATCAAGATCATAAGATGCATAAAGTTGAAATGGACTAGCTTGTATCTGGTTTAGCTGCACTAGCATCATCAATTCAAGTTGAGGCAATTCATATTTTTTGCAAACAAAGTTTCAATCTTTCCTTCTAATTGCAAAACCATGGATAAAAAGTGCAATGGGTGTGTTTGGTACGAAAAAAAATGTTGTTTTCAGGACTTTATTAATTTTCAAGAATTTAATTATTCTTTTAAAAATTCATACAAACCCAAAGAAAATAATGTGTTGCTTTATTTTTTTACGCAAAAACAACGTTGAAATTACTCTTTTTTGGTTGAAAAAAAAAGTACTTTTTCTATAACATGTAAAAAAAGTACTCATTTTGTTGAAATGAAAGAAAATATTTTTTCTATATCATCAAAAGATTGAAATGAAAGAAAATGCTTTTTCTACATCATGAAAAGAAAATACCCGTTTTATTGAAATGAAAGAAAATACTTTTTCTACGTTGATGTTTGGTTATAATTGTATATTTTTAGTGCATTACTTATCTTACATTTATGTGCTTTAATGCTAAATTGTATTATATGTATGCTTAATTGAGTTTATTTTATGTGTAGTTATTTTGGAGATGAAATTGTGAGCGAACTAAAGATTTTATGTGTATTTTATATATTACAAGAATGGTTCATAATTATTTAATTATTGGACAATGATTGAAGTTTAGTATTATGAAAAAAACAAAAGAAAGACGTTTCATTACCACGAAGTTGAAGAAAACAAAAAGGCAGGTTTATGGTGAGCACATGTACGCGATCGTGCCTAGCTGGGCAGTTCATCAGGACAAAGAAGATAAAAAAAGAAAAGTATAGTGGCTAGGAAAGCTCCGGAGATTCTATGGAAAATTGAAAACGTCGAAGTAAGCTGTNCTCTGCTTCCTATACTTAGAAAATGATCCCAATGAAGCCAATGGTGAGACAAAAGGAACCCCAGGATTGATTATTCCCTTAGGCCTATTCTCACTCCTTCAACTAAGAAATTCAAATCAGCACTTGAAGCAGGAGTCTAGCTAAGGCTAGTGCGCTAGAATTCAAATGTCTTGTTCTATTCTAAGGCTCGGACGTGGAGCTGGCTCTATTAATCGATAAGCAGCGGTTGCTTACCCACGGACACCTAAGCCTTCTAGGCAAGTGCATAAAGAGAGAGGGGAGGTAGCTTCCAGAAAGATAGAATCCGCGAAATGGATACAAAAAAGGTGGCAAGTTTTTTCTCAATCGAGAGTCATTTCCCTTAGTGCGGAGGGGGTTCGATTCCCGTTATACGCGATGTGGCGAAAAAGACTGATTCAACGAGATAGCTAGGCAGATAGATAGACTCCTTTCCCGCTGCTGTCCATAACTCAAAATAGGTGACCTAACGTCCGCCGCCCGACTAAACATACCAATAGTCACCAGGCATTACTATAGTGGGATTTCAAAAAAAATGGGCTTCATTTTTTAAGCTTCTTATCACCTGCAGGAGTCCCACTGCCATTAGCACCTTTTTTAGTACTCCTTGAGCTAATCCCTTATTGTTTTCGAAGGTTTCTGGAAGCATCCTTTACTTTGTTGTTCACAGTAGCAGCTTGCCAAGTGGGAGAATGAGGACCATCGGATCGAGGGCATGAAGGCTATAACATAGAATTGCAAATTGAAAAAGAAAGGAAAAGTACGAGAAATTATGGGAAGAAAAGTTAGGCAACTAGCACTAACCAAAGAAATCAAAATTGTAAACGAAGAGCAGCAGGCGAGGCGAGCAATTCTCCTCGCGTTTTGCCTCGCGACGCGAGGTCCAGTGCGAGGTTCATCGCGTGTTTCGTGTGGCGACGCATGGTCTGAGTTTTAAGTCTATTTTGTCTCCTTTTTGGTTTTGGACTTGGTTATTTCATTTATGTCTTTTCTCTACACATATAAATAATCATTAAACACCATTTTTAGAGAGGGAGACCTGAGATTGGACCGAGGGAGAGCACAGAGCCACCATAGAGGCCGGAATTCATCAGATTCCATCTTTCTTCCATCAAATTTAGTAATCTTTATTTTTTCTTGATGATTTGTTGTTTTGCTATCATGGCTATGTGGAGCTAAATTCCGCATTCTAGGGTTGTGGTTGTCATGAATATTGAAGTTTATTGATTATATTACCGTTAATTCGAGTTATCGTCTTTGGTTGTTTTTCTAATTCTGTGCATAATTGCTTAATTGTTTGGCCAGTAGTTGAGTTCTATTTACTATCTATGCTATGCTTGGGAAAGCCGTGTTTAGATTAGAGTAGAACTGGAGAGAGCTTGTTTCTGAACCTGTGGCTCGGGGAAAGATTTCGCGGTTAGAATATGAATATACCTAACAGTCTTGCTTAGTTGAATACCGTATTATATTCGCTCATGATAGATTCAAAACCATAGGAATATAGGGTTGATATATTATGGATTGACGGATAGTATTGTGGGAACATATTATTTATATAAACGATCAGGTCAACTAGCAATCATAGATAATTTGGATTAACAGGTGTAATTATGAACTCAATAGGATTGATAAACCGACCACGACCCTGGAATTTATATCTCCCTTGGCTACATGTTTAAATTTTGCAATAGCAGTTGTAATAAAAAAGTTAAACTCTTGAACATCTTGAACAGTAAATTGATTTTAGTTTGCTTAGTTAACGGTTAATCTAAGTCTTTGTGGGTTCGACATTCGACTTTCGAGTCACTTTATTACTTGACAGCCACGTATACTTGCGTGTACTGGGGAATCAACAAGTTTTTGGCGATGTTGCCGGGGACTTAGTTATTGATTGTTTATCTAAGTTAAGCTTTTAATTTATTTTTGTTCAAGTTTTTAATTTTCTTATTTAATTAGTATTTTGTTTTCTTTTACTTACTTTCACATGGCATCTTGGAATGTAAATTGTTCGAATGATGCTTATTCTTATTTTGATGATCCTTGTCCATATTGTGGAGGACCCCACTAGTAAAAAAATTATCAGAATATCCCCGGGAGCGAGTTGTGCGTACAATCTCAATCCTTTTCGTGGAATATTTGTAATATATGTGCTGGTCAAGGTGGCCATTGGGATGGCTGTCCTAATTCTTTTTATCCTTCTTCGAGCCCTAAGTATGATGTTTCTGATAATATTTGTTGTTATTGTTGTACTCAGTGTGGTTGAGCCGAGGGTTATGTGTGGTTATGGTATTGGAATTGGTTTGAGGAAATGTTGTGCATATGGGCACATGTGGTGAAAGTCATTATATTGTGTTGTTATATTTTTTGGCACACGTGGTATTTTGAAAGGATTGTCGGGGTGTTCGCACGTGAGTTGTCTGTGCTATTGTTATTATTGATATTTGCACATGCGGTGTGACAAAGCGGGCTATATATGCGGGTTTGCGCATGTGTCGAGACCAGGTGGAAATAATATCATTATGCGCGTGCGGCAAGACAAGGCAGGCATTTGTTTTATTGTTGCGCACGTGGCGAGACAAGGTGTTCTATGTCGGGGATGATGTGTGATGACTTGTGATGGCCCGAGGACATTGTTATTGATGATATTTGTATAGTGGTGTGCCTACCTTGTGTGAGTTATACATTTTTCATTGTGTTGTGTTGTTTCCTACGTGCCTTTCGTTGTCTTCACTCTTACTTGTCGACTTGAGTTGTGATAGAACACTTGCACAAGCATACATGTAATTAATCACCCGTATCAGGTTAAGAAGATGAATCCTGATATTATTGACCATTTACATGTACTCTCGTTTACTTGCCTTCTGTGTGAGAGGCACGTGAGTTGTCCGTGCGGTCATGAGTCACTGTTATTGATGGCACGTGAGTTGTCCGTGCAGATATGAGGTATTAATGGTATTGGCACGTGAGTTGTCCGTGCAACACGTGAGTCGTCCATGCAGCTATGAATTGTAATGTAGGCACAAGATGCCAAGTGATTAGGGTTCATGAACTGAGACCCGTGAATTGTGACTATGAGGTGAAGTACCTCAGAAAAATTCTTAAACAAATCTTGTGTGAAAGTGGTTGCTCTTATTGAGTTGTTACTTGTTTTCCTTACTTGGTTCACCAGATTTAAACTGTGTTCAGCTTACTCTACGACATTATTACCTGTTTGTTCCCTGTTGCTAACTGATGTTTCTAGTATTCTATTGTGAGTATTGTTTTGCTATCTTTACCATGCTTAGCTTTATATTGACATCGTTTCCCTGTTAGTTTTACATTCATACTTGTACAGGTTGTTAAGTCTAGTAGGTGTCTTGACTGTCCTTCGTCACTACTCCACTGAGGTTAGTCTTGATATTTACTGGGTACCGTTGTGATATACTCATGCTACGCTTTTTACATATTTTTTTGTGCAGATCCAGGTACTTATGAGTCGGATGATCACTAGTTAGATGATCGGGCTTTGCCGTGGAGACTCAAGGTATACCTGACATCGCGTTCGCAGGCTTAAGAGTCACCTTCTGATATTGTACTTGTACTGTTTATTTCTATTCCGAAACAGTTGTACTTAGAGATTTCTTAGTAAACTCAGCAGAGCTTATGACTTGTACTACCGGTTTTGGGGTATTGTATTGCACTCGGGAGTATTGGTTTACAATAGAAATTTCAGTTTCATACTTAATAGTTGCTTCTGGTTAAATTCTGTCATATAATTCAGTAAGTGTTAGGTTTGCCTAGTCTTAGTGACTAGGTGTCATCACGACATCCTACGGAGGGGAAATCGGGGTCGTGACACTTCAAGGCTGTTTTTAACTCATAGAAAAAAGAGACTCAACTATTTTGACTTATTATACGATCAGAAGATTCTCTATCTATTAGCATACTCACACTGGCAGTTACAGTAAGTGGCTGCAAGAGAGTTGATTGTCTAATATTTATCAAATAAGCAATCTGTACCATTTTTCCATCCAAAAATAGAAATAAGACAGGGAAGCACAATTATTTGATATGCTAACAAAACATTGCAAAGCTAAAGATTTGTTTACTGAAATTCAAAGGATAATCCTGCTTTCACAAGAGGAGAAGACTTGATGTAAAACAACCTGTTAAATGCGCGTTTATCGCTACTCAGATCATCTATTAAAACTCAACTGAGATATGAACGATCAAATCTCAAGTATGAGGGTCTGATCAAAAGGGACCCTTTCTCCACACGTTGCTACTACTGCCTTTGCAGGCTTCAAAATATACCAAACACAAATGCATGTCTCAACTACTACCTTTGTATACTTCATCACATTATACAAACCACTATTGGGATTAAACATATCGAGATGCAGGCCTTTGTGTACAACTCGATTTTGATAAGGCTTTGTATACATCTCTCTTAACTTGTATTGTGCCTAGAGTAGATTAATTCCTGTGCAAGGCATAGAAAAAGTGTAAGTTTGCTATGAGAGAAACTTATTCATACCTGGTGTTTAAACCAAACTGCATGAGTTTACCATAGTTGACAGCTATATTGCACGGACTCTCCAAAATGCTGCTATACCCGTGTCAAATCCTCCAAAAATACACTACTTTTAGAGAATCCGACACACACCCGGCAACATTTTCGGAGAGTCCGAGCAACATATTTTAACAGTAAATTGATATTAGAATATACACAAACTAACCGCATTTAAGTGATAAAATGTGTATGAAAGGGATATGTCATATATTCATTGATATTGGAAACACCGGGTGTGTGAGTTTTTTCCATTGATATGGCGTAAATCCATGAAATACCACCACGTGCCCTCAATAATTCTACTCTTTAATTAATGAAACCATTTCCCTTTTATGGGCAGGGAGGTAAGATTCTTTAGGCCGTTTGTCCATAGACTAATTTTGCAGCATGATAGCAATTGGTGCAATCAAACAATCCACGCTCCCACGTATTGACTCGGATCACTCTCCAATTATCCTAGAGTGTGGTCATTGGGCTAGAAATGTCTCTTATTTTAAGTTCAAAATATGTGGTTAGAACACCCTAATTTTGAAGAATTGGTTAGAAATTGGTGGATGCCTTTCAATATTTTGGGCAGCCCGGATTATATTTTTGACAAAGAAGCTCGAGTTATTGGAACTTAAGCTTAAAGAATGGAACAAGCCCTCTTTTGTCTTTTGGAGAATAGGAAAACTTCTATACTGAGTGAAATCATGGAAATTGATCAAGAAGCTGAAGAAACACCACTCTCGGATGATCTCTTACACTCCAAAGCAATCCTTCATATGGAGCTTGAGGAGATTTTCAAAATGGAAGAAATCACCCGGAGACAGAAGTCTAGGTGCCTTTGGTTGAAGCAAGGGGACAACAACACTGCTTTTACCACAAGATGGCAAACTCTCATAGTAGATTCAATCATATTGACAGGCTGGAGGTTGGGGGAGTACTTTATGAAAATGAAGAGGTCATCAAAAAATGAGATTCTTAGTTTTTATGAGGCATTATACAAAGAGAATGAAAACTGGAGAACACATTGGGAATATGTCAATGCTCCATGCATTTCCAGCGAGGAAAAGGAGTGGCTTCACAGACCTTGCCAGGAAGAGGAGATACATGGGGTCATCAAAAGTTGCGAAAGTGACAAATCGCTGGGTCCAGATTGGTTCTCAATGTGTTTCAACAAAAGGTGTTGGCTGATTCTAAAAGTTGATTTGTTGAATGCTATTAATCACTTTCATGATTGTGAATATTTTGAAAGTTTAAATTCTTCTTATACAGCTCTTATCCCTAAGAAGACTGATGCAAAGGAACTAAAAGATTATAGACCTATCAGCTTGATAGGTAGTTTCTATAAGATCCTTTCCAAAACTTTGGCGAATAGGCTTAAAAATGTGCTGCCAAGTCTTGTCAGTCCTTCTCAGATGGCTTTTCTTAGTGATAGAAACATCATAGATGCAGCCTTGATCGCCAATGAATGTTCGGATTCAAGGATGAAGTCGGGAAAGCCGAGAATAGGTTCACTTAAATTGAAACGGGAGGAGTAATATAGAGATTGATATGTCTTGATTCTTGAGGCAAAATTGTGAGGTTATTCATTTTAAGGGCCTTTTTTCATCGTTAGTTACTCTTATCTATGTATTGCTACTGTAGATATCTATCTTAAGAGTCTCTCCACTCTCAACAATGTGGTTAGCTTCTTAAGTAGTGATACCACCCGATATCTATCTTAAGAGTCTTTATAGTTATAGATCTTGCAATTATACAATCAACGAGGTAGAAAGCTTAAATTTGTTTCCTTTTTTAGAGCAGCCAAATCATAGTTCTACTGTCGGTATTGCTTAAAAATGGTATCCATAGGAGTGGCAAACACTAATTTTACATGAGTTCATTGTGAGATTAACTTATGATTCGAAGAAGCCAAAACTTCTAAAATTATTCCTTTTCAAGACTACATGTGCTCAAAATTGAACTATAAGTTTTCCTTAAAGAGCCACCATTTGATGATGTTGAATTGAAACAAGTTACAATTTCAAGTTTTTCCCATTTCAAGTGATACAATCAATCACTAAATCTATCTTCGGGGTGGAAGAATTACCATCACAAACTCTATGAAGAAAGAATTACCCTTTGCGATACTTTATGGGGTTTATTTTTATTGAATCAAATACGGGGACAAAATTAAACATACTATACAAAGAAATTGTAAAAATGCCTTTATAATACCTGAAAGTGATAGTGTGAAAAGCATGAGAAACAGAGATATAAATGAGTTTTTCTTCTTTTTTGTGGGCATGGATAATGTGGTGAGCTTTGATGAATTGTGGGTCTGAGAGAAGATTGCGCCACTGCTTTGACACGCACCTGTATTGGCCTATGAATTTTGCAGGCAGCAGGGAAAGTATGTCAAATATGATTTCTTCGGGTAGGGTTTTAGCTTTGCTCATCGCCATTGAAGGAGTGTAGGATTTTTCTTCCGTAGTTTTTCAATTATTGGGAAAAAATGAAAATAAGGAATTTACCGTTTGGATGGGAAAGCTTTTTTCAATTTGTTTCAAGTATTGCGAAAATTAGAAAAAGTTTTTACCCACCAAATTTTCTCTTTTGATGTAAATTTGAAGTGCAAATTGAATAAGAGTACTTGAAAGTTGAAATTGTATTTGGACATAAATTTACTCCAAAAGTTGTATTTTTTTACTTAAGACCATTATTTCACTAAAATAAGGTTTCAGTATTTGTGAATAGTCACTTCCAATATTTGAAATATTGTGTAATTAAAAATACTTGTTTGAGGACTATTTCAAGTGAAATCATGTAATACACTAATACATCAATTTTTGCACAACTTATTGCAGAGTGTTATTTTACGGTGCAAACCAAACTGCATTGCTTATGCCAGACTTATAGCATATTTGGCCAAGTTTCTCGAGAGGTCAAAAGTATTTTATTTTTTTTTCAAAAGTACTTTTTTTTCTTACTTAAGGTGTTTGGTCAAGCTTTTTTGGTGAAAAAAAATAATTTTGGGAAGAAGCAGAAGCAGTTTCTGATAAGCAAAAAAAAAAAGTAGCTTCTTCCCAAAAGCAGAAGCAGAAGCAGTTTTGACTTTTTTTCTTACCAAAAATACCCTTAATAAAATATAGTATATACCAAAATAACCGTTAAACCTAATGCTTAGGATATTAATGTATAAATATTTCTTATTATTTTTAGGATAACTTTCTAATATATAGTGATTTTAGGGGTGAATTCTTTTATATTTGTTGAATGATTTTTAATATATTTAACTTATATTAAAAGAATTAAGTACTTTTAAATTTTTTTTCATATTTTACTTAAATAAAATAAAAAAATTAATTATTGCCTGTAATAATAATTTTTTGAGATTATTTATTTACTTATAATACTAACTATTAAGTAAATCTATTCATGTCCTTATTCGTAATTTGATACTTAAAATTATTTTCTGAAAAGTTTGGTCAAATACAAATTATTGCTCAAAAATATTTCAGATTAATTAGTCAAACACAAACTGATTCTCTCCAAAAGTACTCTTTTCAAAAGTTCTGTACATTCTTCATTAATAAGTGGGATTAATCATACCATTCTCGTTACCGAAGTAAGTTATATTTGCCCTTATTGACTAATGGAGCTAAATAGCATGGTGCAAAATGTCGTATGTCCAAATCTCAATAACGAGAGTAGTCAAATTTCTTAACTGTGAGAAATGGTCTACATATGCCTCTGTAGCTTAAAAATTATCCCATTTTACCCCTCCCCTAAGATACTGTATTCATTTAATCTTTTTAAACGATAAACAACGATAATCTAGAAAGATGAACATAGTGGGAAAAAATTAAATTAATTACGGGTAAATACAACTGAAACAACAATGCTACCAAAATTGGCCCATATTTTTACTTTGGGAAAAGGGTCAAATATACTCCCCTACTTAGATATATTGTTCACATGTATTCTCCGTTATACTATTGAGCCACATCTATCCTTACCGTTAGCCAAACTTTTTAAAAATACCCTCCACCTAACGGAAAGCCACCAAATTAAAAAAAGACTTATTTTTTAACTAAACCCATTAATAACATGTTAAACCGCTTTTATTTACTGTATTTTTTCTCAAAGATTAGTCATCTCCTTCATATTCACTTGTTGAACTGAAGAAGTGAAAGACATAAAAATACCGACAACCATATATTCATTTATATATTCAGTCACAATTCTTTTAATATCATTATTGTATGTTTATTATATTCAGCCTTTTTCGATTTCTTTTTTCTTCTTCTAGTTTTTCTCTTTGTTTTTTTTTTTTTCGTCATGTCAAACTGTATCAAGTATTCACCATGATTTTCTTTCCACCATGACTTGAATATTTATAGTATCTTATTAGGTTGACAGTTCTGAAGTCTTAAGGCAGCTACCGAGGTATTTTTTCCTCCATTTGTGAGCCTTTGTTGATGAGTATTTAAGCATTATGATTTTCTTATTCTACTTTAAGCATTTGAGCTACGAGTATTATCGTCAAATCACGCCTTAAGAACCAAAGTTAGAGTCCAAGCTATGGGGTGTGATCAGCGGCGGCCTCACCCTAAAGCAAGTGAAACACTTAATTTAGGCCCCAAAAATTTAAGGGCCCCAAAATTATTATTTTTCTATATATAGTAGTATATTATTTATATAATTATCTCTTATTATTGATAAATTTATTTCTTTATTGTCATATTAATTTTTAATAACTCGATTTTTTCCTCTAATTAATATAACTAAAATAGTTTTCTATCAATCTTATTTTACTTTTTTACTTAATTATATTTCTCTATTCGTTAGTTGGTCACGTAACTATATCTAATAATCTAACTTATTATTTATTTTCCTTACATAAATTATACTCTCTCCGTCTCAATTAATATGAAAGTGTTTGATTGGGCATGAAGTTTATGAAATAAAGGAAGGCTTTTGAAACTTGTAATCTTAAATAAATCGTAGAAATTTGTGGGCTAGAAATCATTTCATTAATGGTAAAAAGAAAAATCTAAAGTTGAATTGTTACCAAATATAGAAAGGGGCTTACTAAAAAAAGGAANTATATAAAGGCCTCTTATTAAAGCTTTGCTTTATGCCTCGGATGATGTTGGGCCGCCCCTAGGTGTGATACTCATAATTCTTAGTAACAACTGAACTTATAATGAACAGAAATTATTAAATAATAAGAGGAGATTCAATTTAATATCAAGTTACAGTCTAAGGAGTTCATCAAGAATAAAAGAAAGTACACCACCAAGTTGGAAAGTAACTTAACAACATAAGCACACTAACTTCATGTATTAACCAAACACAAATATTGTTAAAGTATATATCAATTGTTACCATACATACAAACCAACTATCAAGTGTGATAACATGACAACCTAATGCCACCATGAACAACTAAGAACCAAAATATAAGTTTTTACTAATCCTACCGCCACCATCATTCTCACTCTCTCTCTAAATGAATAAAATGTGTTAAGGCGTGTCAGAAATTTAGGTTCCGTATTTTAATATGATGGGTTTAAAGGGTTGTGGGTTAATGTATTTTTTTTTTAAATAATTTTTTTTAATTTGATGATTGTCTGTTAGGTGGATGATATTTTTAAAAAGTTTGGCTAACGGTAAGGATATATGTGGTCTAATAATATAACGGATGGTATATGTGAACAATAAACAAAGTAGAGGGGTATATTTGACCATTTTTCCTTTTACTTTCTTACCTGTTTTGGCCCAGTTTATATTTAACTTCTATTTTGTTTATCCCTTAACCCAAAATTATAGACCTACTTCTAGCATTCTTTTTTCTTTTCTCATTTTGTTCTTTCTTTCTTTTATGTTCTGCTTCACGGTGGCTGGTGATTCTATGCCACAAATCCACCTTCATCCTCTTGAATCTCTTTTTTAATTCATGGGTATGACTCATGATTAATATGAGCTAAAAATTTGAATTCCAATTGATGGATGTTCAAATCTGAAATTGAAGTTTTGCTGCGGTGAGACTCGAACTCCATTGAAGGAGCTTCAGAGCACGAAGTTCTATTCAAATCTGGAAAATTTTACGGTAAAATGATTGGGTGAAGTTAAAAATTATTGGAAAAGCTTGTAGTAACTTGAATCTTGAATGCTCGATTGATTGGGTTTGATTAACATTAATTTTGGGAATTACAACTGAAACTTACAACTGGAAATGCTGGATTGATTGGATTGAAATTACAACTGAAACTTACTTAAGTAAGGACATTACATAATGGTATCCTGAAGTAAAATAGCATAATAACATTTTATCTCTTTCTATGCAGCCAACTATACGAAATATTTAGCATCTACAAGTTTGTTATAACAGAGAAGAACGAATTTATAATGAGAAACATAGACATGTTTACCTAGTTAAAGCCCAGAATTTGCAATGTTTGCACAACATAGTGTTAAGATTGGTGAAATCGATCAGAAATGGAGAAAATTGAGACTAGGGTTTGATTAATCGGGCATGTTTGCAGAGAGAAGAATCGAGAGAATTCTTATTTTCTTTTCTCAGAAATTGAATGCAAATACCTGAGTCTAACTATTTGTACTGGGACAAAATGGAAAATACAAAACAAAGAGAAAAAATGATTAGGTTGCATTGGCTAATAAATACAAACAAGCCCAAATGATTACAAATCAGATAACTCCAACACATAACTTTCCACCATTGCAGACAGTCAAATATTATTTTTAAGGTAAAACTGGTGCCCTAACACCACCTTGGATAATACCAAATCATAATAAAGAGCTAAAACACCCAACAGTAAATAGAAACAATGAAGTCGGGTAATAAACAACAAAAGAGTTGAGCAAGCGCTTCACAACTCCATTGGTAAAGCAACTGTCATTGGCCACGTTTTCTCTGCAGGACATCTCTTACTGCCATTGTTAAGTAACAGGCACTCAGCTCTTGTTACACACCATGTGAGCCCTTTGAGAATTCACATCTACTGAAATATTATGATTTACCCAAATTATTAGATGATGGCCTATCTAGACCATTTCACATAGTTTATAGAATACATGAACCTTTTTTGTTCTAAATTTTGGACGCCGGGAAGCAAACCATTTTTCACTTTTGCAAAGGCAAGGGCATGATTGACACTAACTATTAACGAAAAGCATATATAGATTATTTTCCATAATTCAAGGACATATTTTACCCTTTATCTCTCCAACCAAATGTTGAATTATTTTGGCAAGATATTATGATGGGATTATTTTTTCTAATCTCTTCAACCAAATGATGCCTAAGTGCAGAATGATTCTCACTTTTGTGTGAGTCGCACATAAAATAAGTGTGAGACAAATAGGGTTAAAATTGGTATCTTCGGTTAAATATATTGTTTATCCTTGAAATGGATACCAATTAATTTTTTACGCGTTTAATAGATATGTGATTTACTTTAACACAAATGATCAAAGAACAGTAAATAATGGAATTGAAATGAGATAAAACGAT